AATGTCATCATTACAATTGTATTTAGTTTCTATACATATGTTACATTTTTTGTGTTTGCCGATCAATACTTGTATGTTCATATGTTTTTAGAGGTGTATGTATGTCAGGGTGTATTTTAGTTTTACTTCTAACGAACAGTTAGCGAATGCATTTTAAATTGTGTTCGGGAATGTGTTTAATTAGTGTGTTAAGTTGTGTTAATTATGTGTATGTATCTATGCGATTTTAAAAAGTGTTCGGGAATGTGTTTAATTAGTGTGTTAAGTTGTGTTAATTATGTGTATGTATCTATACGATTTTAAAATGTGTTCAGCTTCCCAGAGACGGATCCAGGAGCTAGAGATGAAAAATGACTTAGATACATAGTGCTGTAACCAGCTGAACATAGTGCTGTAACCAACGGTAAAGAATGAAAAAACGTCTGGACATCGAGTCAGTTTTATTTCCAGACTTTTTTCTCGAAAAAGGGGGGGGGGGGCGTTGAGTGTGGGGGGGGGGGGGGGCTGGGAAAACTTAAATGTTATGGGGTAGAACCCTCTTAAAAGTACATGCGTTGTTTCTTTTTCTTTTATGTTTTATAATCTGATTATTTTTAGTTTATTAATTTAAAATAGACTACGTCTACGTCGTCTTAGAATTTGATTAAAAAAAATTATTTAGGTTTCTGTGATTAGGAATCTATTAGGTCCTGGATCTAGTTGCCTCTTAAACACATGTTTTATTTATTTTAAATGTTTATACATTAATTTGAAACACAGTGTGTTTTCTAGCCGTAGTCCATCATGTGGACCGCCAGAATGACCTTAAGCCCCAACCCCCTCCCCTCGTCCGTCCATCCATACTCGTCCACAAGTGTCTACTGTATTCGAACCACCCCCCCCACCCTAACTCCCCCCCACACCCTTGTGGACGTCATACACGGTTGACCCCAACGGTCTATCAAATATCATAAATCTGGGCTCGTGACAATGGGGAGAATAGAAGGAAGGCGTTTGGATGGAGCACTACAAGAAATGTATTCGGCTGCCCGTTACAGATTTCGGAAAGCATTAGATAAACGAAATAGATATCAAACGAATAAAGTAGCTGAAATCAATGTGAGAAAATAATTTTCAGTTAATCTTAGAACTGTCATGAACATATAAATTTTTTTATTTTTCATATTATTTCAGCTTAAGTTGTTTTAAAGTCATTGGTTTTATAATTAAACTGAATGTAAAATTGTTACTTTTTTAAATAAAAGATATATATTGTAGAAACAATTTCATAACACATGTTTTTTTTGTTTATTAAAATAAGTCTATAGAAATGTTGTCTGCAAAAATGTTTGTAAAACAAATAAAACAATTGGTATTTACAAGACTTTAATAACTTAATTGTGTAATCTCCCCTGGTAATTTAAAATTTAGAAATGGAATATACTTTAATGCGTTTTAAAAATAGACAAAAAAATTTGTTAAATTAACTTTCATGTTGGCGTGTAATCACAGCAGAGGCGGAACTACACTGCCGCCAGACCCCGCAATGTGTACTTAGGAATGAACTTAGCAAATGTTTATTTATAAATCTATAAATGTTTATAAATGTTTAGCAAATGTTGCATACTATAACGGCAAGACTTGCAATACTTTGGTTATCGTGAGTTATTATTTTGATACTCGCGATGCTGAGGTAGCACCAGAGATGTGCCAATCTAGTGCCTGCCTGGTGATGTTGTTAGTTGGTTCACAAAGATGCTTGCAAAAGTTTGTAATAAGAGTGGCGTGTGGAGGGAACATGGGTATGTTATTACCTTTTTGTTTATAATATACGAACAAAATTAAAATAAGAGGAAATATACATTTTTAAAAGCGAGGAAACTCTGGTGTCCTCTTTTTTTGGTCAATTACTCGTTTGTTTCCCTTGGGTGATATACCTCAAGCTCACAAGACAACTTCTGTATATTCTAAAATCACCCGCCCCCCTTGTTTATTTTTAAAATAATTTAAAGACGAGCGACCAAAGTAAAATCTTGTATTTTAAGATCAGCGAGCATACTACACATGTCTATTTTATTACATTTCTAGGAAAACAGCTAAATACTATGTATTACTATATATATGTATATATATATATATATATATATATATATATATATATATATATATATATATATATATATATATATATATATATATATATATATATATTTCACTTCTTGGATACCCTAGAAAACACCGAGCTGTAAGCGCGCCTAGCAGCTCCCTCTCTTCCTCTTTAGGCTATATCCCTACCATCCCCACCCCACATTGTCTGGTGAGCTGTGGTTCACGCTAAATGTTTACAATCGTAGAGCCGGGTTTAGTGACGGCAGATAATTTAGTTTGAAACAATTTTAAACTTAAAGGAGGTAACCAAGAGGAGGCTGCTTTCACGTGGGGTGGGGTGTAGGGTAGGGGTTGTGGGAAATTAGGGTAGGGGGTTATCGTCCTAAATGACCTACTGATGTGTCTTAAAGCAAATATTTTCAGTGGCAGCATTGGAACTGTCAAATTCACAAATTATGAATTACTGAAGAGTAGAAAATAAAACAACTAAATAACGGCATATGATACGCCGCTGGTCGGCTCGTATCTATATAATCATCTTCATTGGGACCATGCGAGACACCAAGACATAAGCTCAACAGACCTTTTCACTACCACCCCACCCCAACCAGTCTGGTGAGCTGTTTACAAAGGTAGTGGCGGCTATTAGGTGCCGATAATTTAGTTTTTAAACGATTTTGACACTAAGGGGAGATAATAGCATGGTCTGCTTGCTCTTTTCATTGTCGCCTGTAAACTTTCGTAACAGACGGCTGCTTTCACGGAAGAGGGGTAGGGAGGGGCGGGGCATAATCGTATGTCAATGTAGACATATTTAAGACAGAGGAAGATAAATTATATTTGATTAGAAAGCAATTGTTGTGTGAGAGACATTTGTATTAACCTGAGCACAATAAACTGGAGCGGGTCTTTGAATATCCTTTTGAAAGTCAGTACACGATTGTATGCCGTCTCGTTTTAAATAATTGATAGGGGTGTGCACCACTCACAATTTTCTTAAAGCCAATGCTCCTTTGTTCTAATAGAAGAAGCATGTCACAGGGTACCCTTGATATACTCTTGATATACTCTTGCCGCCATGTTTGGTTCAAATATAAAGTCAGCAATTATCAGCTTTTCTTATAATGTGGACGATTTAATGACTTAATGAGCTGTGGCTGATGCACACAATTTGCCCATATGTATAGACTTGAGTAGTTTCTGTTCATTAATCAGTTTTGTTTAATTGCTTTGGGAATCCACTGTTAGAAAATATGTTTATAGTTATGAGAGTTAAAGTTAATTTATTCTCTGTTTGAAATGTTGATTACTATATATTTTATAAACAAAAATGAATTTAAAAGTCTTATCGTCCACAAACATCCAATTTGAAAATAGCTGTCCACTTTCGGGTAATCTCGTAGACTTCGAAAAGGCGTTTAATAGAGTATTGCATCATTGTTTGAAACTTTTAGAACATATTGCAATGTTAAAAAATAAGAGCATTTAGAAATACATTGTCTTTCCTATTTTATGATTTTGTAATTAAGGGAAACAACTTAAAACTTAATTTTTTTTAAAAATATCAATACATTAAGTAACGATAAAAAAGATACACACATAATTATTTTATTCCAGATTTAATATTTGCAGGTATACTATTAAGGTAGAATAATCACAATAAATATACTAAATGGTAGAATTTCTTTTCATTTGTATTAGTTTACTTAAAAAGATTAATTAAATGCACTCATTATCTCTTTTTGTAAGGAAAGTTAAACTTAACGAACTGCTCCATTCATGTTCTTCCTCGGTTTAATCTATTTTTCAGCACTTTATCCAAACACATTTTGTTCCACGACAATTCAAAGAAAATATCGACAATGACATATATTTAGTACATGTGTGAAAAAATAAAATAAAAAATATAATAAAAAATAAAAAATAGGTTTATATTTTCTAAAACAGATCATTATTTTTAAACTCAAAAATAAATAAACATATATATATATATATATATATATATATATATATATATATATATATATATATATATATATATATATATATTAAACGTGGGAGGAAGCTATGAATATAGCTGTTTAAAAGGAAAGAATGTTTGATGTGTTTCATAGTAGTCAACATATCCAGACTACTTATCATATTTATAATATTACTAGCGTCCCAGTCTCGCGCGTTGCCGCGGTCTCAGAAGAAAGTCTGCTGGCTAGTCACAGCATTGCCCGGGGCAAAGCGCACCTGATTCAATTTAAACGACTCTAAAACCCCATCTTAAGCATAACCTATCTCACTGTTTAGAACGAACGTATGCGCCATTGCGTTCAAGGGAAAGCCCAGGGCGCTAAATCGCACCTTACGCGGACGCCGGAGGACGCGCCTGATCAAATAGGAAATGTAGACGTCCGTGGAATAATCGCCAATGCGATTGTTCTCTGTTTATATCCTTTTAATATAAGTATCGTAAAAACAAAACAACTCAGGTAGTATGGACATGTACCACGAGCTGTCTATCAAAAACCTTCATGCGGGGCTCGTGACAGGAGGGATAATGTAAGGAAGGCATTGACGAATTTTGATTTTTTTTTTCTTTTCATTTTGAACTAAATCACAAAATTTGATCATCATGTTCAGGAGAAAACTGAGATATTTATAGTCAGGATGTACACTTCATCATTGTTCTTATCATTTGTACTGTTCTTGTAATAAACCTCTAAATGTATTTTTTGTTTTTATTTCAATACAATTCAACCAAATTTTACTTGCGTTAAGTTCATAATAAGGCTAAACTACATCTTGACTTCCACGTTATCTAATTTTTTCCGTGACTTGAAATACAGTTCTGGATTCTCATTGATAGGTAAATGTTTTCTGAATTTCAAATTAACTCCCACGTGATGAAATAATCCAAGGCTTTAGTTTCCAGTTGAACGTGTTGTACAAAACGTTTCCCTAAAGACGAGCCTAAATTTGCTGCTCATCTTGTAGTACACCAGCACGCTGACGGAGCTGTTGGTGGCCTCCAGCGTGTTGAGGATGGACCACGACACCTGGAAACTGTTCTGGTACGGGCCCACGATGCTGTAGTTGGGGGAAAAGTGCAGCATCAGTATCAGGTTGATTGCACTGGGTAGGAAACACGCGATGAAGATACAAGAAATGGAGGCTATCATCAGTACAACCCATTTATCGCGACTAGACATCATCTGTTTCGCTGAGGAAGGTTCTAAATTAGTCTTGCGCCATTTGGACATACGGGTCAGATTTATAATTAAAACGACCGTGCAGGTTATAACGCATGCGCAGGAGGATAGCTGCGCAAAGACCGTGATGGAAAAAGAAACGTTTTCAACAGTGGTGCCGTAATCTGCATACACCAACCAGTCGAGTGTTTTGTTTCTGTTGACGTTGAAGTGGGGACCGATGCGGAGGGCGTAGTAGACGGGCGCGACGCTGAGGAAGAGGAAGAGGTAGATGAACAGGATGATGACGAGCGTCCTCTTTGGCGTGAGGAACTGTTTGACCCTGTGAGGCGTGGCGATACAGAGGCATCTCTCTAGGGTGATGAAGGCGGTGATCCAGCTGGTGATTCTGGCAAAGCAGACGTGAGGCCAGCCTGCAGACGTTATATCAAAAGACATTCCGATAACGTAAACATGTGAAACTGGTCATTAAATAAAAACAAAATAAACATGTACTTATCTGTTGATTACTATTGTGTGATTTTTTTTAAAAGGAAATAAAATGAAAGCTCGTATGGTACAGCAAGAGTTTCTTCCAGGCATCTCCTCGGGGGTCCGCCCCCCCCCCCCCCCCAACTATGTCTACCACCCATTCCCCTCCCCCCTCCCACGAACGAAATGGAATTTATATAGAAACATTTACTTTTACCAGTGTCCGACCCCTGGGAAAATGTTGTCCGCCCCCCCCCCCTCCCGAAAGTATCAAGTGCCCCCCCCCCCCCTCCCTGGAGAAAAAAGTCTGGAAGAAACACCAGGTAAAATAAAAGCCCGCATGGTACAGCGTGATCAAGTTGTAGACTCCCCAGCTTCTAACCATAAGTCTTGAGATCGATTCTTTGTGTACGCTCGTAACTCCACCCCAATGTTACTTATCAGTGTGTTAAGTCAATTCTGGCATTTTAAAGTCGGTTTTGCGTAGTGCTGACAACACTATACCTTAGCATTACACGGTCATAGAAACAGGTGGAACCTAATTCAACTTCCAATTGTTGAAATAGTTCTTTAGATTTTACGTATATGAACACTATTCTAAATATAGTATTTACGTCACAAACGCACAACTAAAACAGCAATTAAACTTTGGTTTAAAATACGTATCTAGAATCTTCTGTTAGTACATGTATAACATACAATATTTTTATCAAGTAATGTACATACCTGCCGTTATGTACTGTATATCAATGGACTCGAAAGATATATCCGAGTAATGAAACAGCGGGTTGAAACAGATGCTCATCCAGACTAGGGACAGGAGTGACCCCAGGTCAGCCACGGCCAGACCCAGGAGGCTGATGTTGACAGACTCACTGAAACCCTGAAACGTCATCTTTGATTAGACTTTGTTAACTTTGTTGGCTTAAAGACATCTTTGATTAGACTTTGTTAACTTTGTTGGCTTAAAGACATCTTTGATTAGACTTTGTTAACTTTGTTGGCTTAATGATAACATCTTTGATTAGACTTTGTTAACTTTGTTGGCTTAAAGATGACATCAGAACAAAGTGTCTATCACATTTTAGCTATTTTGAATTTATTAGAATGTGTTGTTTCCTGCCGCCAATTTAGATGTCTAACATGATTGTTGTATTGTGTTGTTATAGTCCTTGTATTCACGCAACGGAAGTTGTATTTTATTACATTTTAACTTCCCATCATGATGAAAAAATTCTAGATTAACTGACCCAGTTGCACATGGTATAAAAGCACTAGATTTTTTTAGGGCCCGTAAATAATAATCCCTAACCAGACGTGATATTACATGTAAGTATATGTAAGATGATGTGCCGTCTCTCGTTTCATATTTACAATCTGGAACTAATGTTGTAACCCAGGCATGCGGTCATAATATTCGTAGCGGTCTATTTAACAGAAGGTGTCATAATGAATGATTAAATCAACAAAATGTAAGAACAAACCTGTTTCCAAAAGACTATGATGACCATTACATTGGCTATCTAACAGAAGGTGTCATAATGAATGATTACATCAACAAAATGTAAGAACAAACCTGTTTCCAAAAGACTATGATGACCATTACATTGGTTATCTAACAGAAAGTGTCATAATGAATGATTACATCAACAAAATGTAAGAACAAACCTGCTTCCAAAAGACAATAATGACCATGACATTGGCTATCCATTTGACTGAAGGTGTCATAATGAATGATTACATCAACAAAATGTAAGAACAAACCTGCTTCCAAAAGACAATAATGACCATGACATTGGCTATCCATTTGACTGAAGGTGTCATAATGAATGATTACATCAACAAAATGTAAGAACAAACCTGCTTCCAAAAGACTATGATGACCATGACATTGGCTATCTAACATAAGGTGCCATAATGAAAGATTACATCAACAAAATGTAAGAACAAACCTGTTTCCAACAGACGATGACCATCATATTAGATATCTATTTAACAGAAGGTGTCATAATAAATGATTTATCTAGAAACTGTAAGAACAAACCTGTTTCCAAAAGACTATGATGACCATTACATTGGCTATCTAACAGAAGGTGTCGTTATGAATGATTACATCAACAAAATGTAAGAACAAACCTGCTTCCAAAAGACTATGATGACCATGACATTGGCTATCTAACATAAGGTGCCATAATGAAAGATTACATCAACAAAATGTAAGAACAAACCTGTTTCCAACAGACGATGACCATCATATTAGATATCTATTTAACAGAAGGTGTCATAATAAATGATTCATCTAGAAACTGTAAGAACAAACCTGTTTCCAAAAGACTATGATGACCATTACATTGGCTATCTAACAGAAGGTGTCGTTATGAATGATTACATCAACAAAATGTAAGAACAAACCTGCTTCCAAAAGACAATAATGACCATGACATTGGCTATCTAACAGAAGGTGTCGTTATGAATGATTACATCAACAAAATGCCACAGTACCGGTGACACCAAAACGAAATATAATATATTGTTATGAACAAGTCAACTTTTTAAGTAAGTTTAATTTGTTATTAAAGTAATAAAGACCGTCATCATAATGTACAGAGAGAAACTCTAAATAACCAGTTGAAGTATTGTATTATTTCGTCGTTAGCGAAGGGGCGGGGGTGACACTTGATGATACGACAACTGTGTCACCCGATCTAGCGGCGTCAGTCTACACAAGCAAAAAACTAAACAAATGACGGATTGGGTTCGATGTTTCAAACACGGGTACAAATATAAGAAAAACCCCTAGTTCGATTGTATCTTTATACAGAACTAGTGGCTTCATTATCCTGTCATTGAGTGTGCACAACACTCCCGCCCTGTGATGCTACTGTACAGAACACCTAAAGTTTGAAACAAAATAACTTCCTCTATTTGATGACATAACTCCAGCTCTAAAACTTTAAATCTTAATTCATTCGTAAAATGTTTTTGGTGAGATGTGGTAGGTCTATACATAATTAATACAATATTCTATGCGTTTTTGTTTACCCTATAAAAACAATTTTAGAAATCCAACACCAGTAACCAAGAGTTTCAATTTCAAAATGCTTATAGCATAACAATACTATTCATTTCTAAACGAAATATATATTTCTAAAATATGGATTTACTCAATATAAATAGTCTAACACTAAGTAGGCCTATAACAAAAAAGGAAAGAAAAACACCTTACAGTTATCAATCTTAAAGAAAGAAAAAAAAAGGAAAGAAAAACTGCCAGTGCAAATCGAAGTTTAATCACAGGCTTCACCACACAACCTTAATTACATGTACGAATCAAACAAAAAAAAGTAGAAAATTCGATTTTTACTCTACAATTTTTATTTTAGTTCAGGCGAACCAATTAAGTTAACCTCAAGGTTTATTCGTCAAAAAGAATTCTATGACTTCACTGATTGTATGAACAGAGTGTAATTAGTGTAATATTTTAATTAACTTCACTGATTGTATGAACAAAGTGTAATTAGTGTAATATTTTAATTACCTGTCGATCGAACTATCCGTGCGTAGATATAATCATCAAGGTTAAAATAGTTGCTTTAATCTGATTTTAAATGTTCATATCTGAAAATAATTATTTAACGACGAGTGTGCCTATCTCTTTCCGTTGAGGATAATTAAAGAGCAAATATAATTGATATTAGTATAATTTATATAAGAATAAATACTTCATCTTCGTTAAGTAAAGAACAAACACATTTTTGTGTCGTATATGTATTCAATCGTGAAAGATGTCCAATCAGAAAGCGTTTAACATCTCGACTACAACACCGCCGGTGAGAGCGGTCGTTGACCTGGGCTACAAAAGGTCAGGCGTGTTCCTGCTTGTGGTTCCACTGGCATTCATTGTCAAGTTCCTAGGTGCCGTCAACAACGGCATCAATGCCATCGTCTTCTTCAAGATCGGCCTCGTAGACGTCCTGTTTGTGTCGGTCTTTGCCTTGTCCCTCTCCGACCTCTTCTTCACCATCATCAGCTCCATCCTCACAGACAGCAACATCATCCTCTACATCATCTACCACAAGACGCTGTGGTCACGTGACCTTGTCATCTGGTACACCATCTCCTTCAAAGACTCCACTTTTCTCTTCGTGACCTACATCACCATACCCCACTGCTGTTTGGTGACCTTCCCCTTGCAGTTCAAAACAACCTTCACCTTCCGACGTACGTACGACGCCTTGTCCGGGATCTCCATTGCGAACTTATTCCTTCACCTCCCCATCCTCTGTACCCAAGGCTTGATGTTGGCCTTTGACCTAGAGACCAACACAACCCAACTCGTGTTCTGTGAATCCCCGGATGTCAAAACCACGCTGGCATTTCACAACCTCGTCAACCCTTACGTCTGCTATCCCCTCATCTTCATCTGCTTCACCTTTTTCACCACACAACTTGTTTCAACCTCCAAGCTCCGTCAGCGTTTAAAAAACGTCGCGACCAAAACACCATCAAAGTTAAACACCTTGGACGTCCGGATAGTTAAAGCCGTGTTAGTGATTTCTCTGTTCTATCATGTGAGTTGTGTCCCATGTTAGTGATTTCTCTGTTCTATCATGTGAGTTGTGTCCCATGTTAGTGATTTCTCTGTTCTATCACGTGAGTTGTGTCCCATGTTAGTGATCTCTCTGTTCTATCATGTGAGTTGTGTCCCATGTTAGTGATTTCTCTGTTCTGTCATGTGAGTTGTGTCCCATGTTAGTGATCTCTCTGTTCTATCATGTGAGTTGTGTCCCTGTTCTATCATGTGAGTTGTGTCCCATGTTAGTGATCTCTCTGTTCTATCATGTGAGTTGTGTCCCTGTTCTATCATGTGAGTTGTGTCCCATGTTAGTGATTTCTCTGTTCTATCATGTGAATTGTGTCCCATGTTAGTGATTTCTCTGTTCTGTCACGTGAGTTGTGTCCCATGTTAATGATCTCTCTGTTCTGTCATGTGAGTTGTGTCCCATGTTAGTGATTTCTCTGTTCTGTCACGTGAGTTGTGTCCCATGTTAGTGATCTCTCTGTTCTATCATGTGAGTTGTGTCCCATGTTAGTGATTTCTCTGTTCTATCATGTGAGTTATGTCCCTGTTGAGGTTCTACCTTTCTGTCACTTCTTATTCCCAGAACTCAGCTTCAGAATGTTGTACAAAAATACATACAACTTTTTGTTTGCACTGTCCAATTGTATTTCACCGTTTAATTCAACCTTCAACATTGCTTTCTATGTCAAATGTAATACAAAGTTCAAGGCAGCCGTTATGCAATGCAGGTTTTTTTTTCAATGAAAAAATAAAATAAATAAATATTCAATCAAATTCTTAAATGATGTTACATTTACTGTGTTAATGCTTTATTTCATATTTATTAAATATTTGTATAATTTTAATGGCATCATATGGAACTCTAATTCCACCACCCTGTTATGGGGATTGGCTTAGCATAAAATAACCAAAGCCGTCATTTTGTCTTCATAAGTTGTTTCTTGGAATGTTGATATTATGCCTCATTTTTTATGAAGTAAATATGAGAAAAATGTGTGTTTAATGTCTTCAAACCCACTTTGTGAATCTATTACTTAAAAAAAATTAATAAGGAAATTTCAGTATCGGTCCTCGTATTGTGTTTGGCTTCATTGGAAAGTTCGATTTCCCATTTGTCAATTGTATTTTGCGTCATCCCATAAACAGTCGTCTCTGATTTACAAGGAGTTAATGAACTGTTTACAAATGAACAACCTCGTTTATTTTATAAATATAGACTTTAAGAAATGTTTATATACTTATTGTTATTTAACATTGAATGCGATAATTTAGTTAACTATTATATTCAAATTATATTGTTAAACTTAAAACAAAATAAAATCTTACAATTGTTGTAGTTAGTTCCCATTTGAAGATTTGAATTAATAATACTAGACAATTTACATTAATGTTCTTGAAAGATAAAAAAAAGTATTCATTTATTTTAAATAAAAAGAAACAACAAATCAGTGTGTCGTTAATTATCAAAACGACAATATAAAGTTTAACCTTTTATAAGCTGATGTTGTCCGTCAATTCTACTCTATTGATTTTATTAATAATTTTACTTGCTTTAAATTTAAAACAAATAACTAACTACAATATCTAATTAAATTGAGATGGGATATTATACTTGAGATTAATAACTAGCAAAAGTTTATATTATCAAAAAAATAAAACTGTGGGAGGACTGCCATAGATATAGATCTATGAAAGGGAAGAATGTTTGCTTTGATGTGTCTCGCGGTAATCAACATAACTTTTCCGTTGCTTAAAATTTGCATCTATTTAATATTCTCTAATCCCAAATTTATATCAGCTCTTCTTAAAAGCCTAGCCCCCCCTCACCCTCCCCTCAGCCCACCACGCTGATGGAATAAAAAATCCTTTGAATCATCATTTAATTACACATTTACTTTTTCAGGTTGTTGTTGTTTTAAATAAAATTGTAATTAGACGTTTTGTATTAGATCTATATATAAGTAAACCATCTTAAATGAATGAAAGTAGGCTACAAGTAAGAAAGCAATATTACTACTGTAAATCTGTATCAGTCCTCACAAGCCGATGATGAAAACTGTAATACTAAAGCGAACATGCAAGGCAAACTGACGCTGTAAATTACATGTCTGAGGCAAACAAAAAAAAGGAAAAAAAAAGATTATATTATTTATTGAAGCACAATTCAAAACTCTCAATTAAAAAAAATTATTTTGTTTTTTAATTCAAACTCTCAGTAACGACGCCTAGAGCTATAGCTGTTTTAAATAGCAAAATATTTTGTTTAAAATCAACTTAGCTGGTACAAGCAGTACACAGCAGAAAACACATCAACACATGCACATACACACACATACACAACTATGACAAAACACATCAAAACATGCACACACACACAACTATGACAAAACACATCAAAACATGCACATACACACACACACACATAACTATGGCAAAACACATCAAAACATGCACATACACACACATACACAACTATGACAAAACACATAAAAACATACACATACACACACACACACAACTATGACAAAACACATCAAAACATACACATACACACACACACATAACTATGGCAAAACACATCAAAACATGCACATATACACACACACACACAACTAGTACAAAATACATCTGAGCACAAAACATGAAAATAGCATAGCTCTGTTGAAGGCCTAAACATCAACGTACTACAGGAGATAAGAAAATATACTGAATCTCAACATAGTAATAACTAAGCAGAAAGTACCTTACATTGCAACAAACAAGGAAACACACCACAAACACAGAAATAGCACTATTACGTCATAGAGTACGTTTCTCTAGTTATCATTTAACCTTAGCCCATCACTAATTAATTAGTTACAAGAGCAGGATCTAGGAAATGCTAATTTTGTTTTAACAAAAAAGGTCATAAGTTCACATTCAATTAACTAAGCAGGGCGAATTAAACCGAAAGATTAGTAAGGGCTAAGGGCGTTTTTTTTAAATGTTTTAATTTAATAAAACAATTCTAAAATTATTTTCAAAGGCTGATATTTTTTAAAAAAAACGGCTTGAATTTTTGAAAATGTAGCTGTTATTGTATCCCTTTGCTGTATTTTATAAAAGATATTTTTTTTAATTAAGTAAGATTACATAGACTTTTCAAGTCTATTGGTACAATTTTCATTTTATGAATCCTCAGCATATTTCCAAATACCATTTTCATAAATATCTTTTTCACTATTCATCATTAAAAAATTATTTTTTAATATTACAATCGAGTTGTTTTTTTTAATGAAACCTTTAAGAGGTGAAGGCAAGTAAATTTAATTACAACACATAACAAGTGGTAAAATTAAATGTAACAAAGGTTGCGCAATAAATATATAATTACATAAGTGTAAGAATAGTTCCCGGACATGACCAGTTGTAGGTTGTCTGTTTAGTGACGCTTGCATCCATAGTCTCCAATTAGCTTGACAGACTTAACTTCACGTACGGACATGAATATGAAATGTGATCTAACATGGATCAACCTTAATGGGGAAAAAATAATAAAAATAGTGAGCGATTAAAAACCGAAACAATTGAATGAAAGGCGACTGGGTGTTGCACAATCACAACACAGCGCAATAGAGAGAGTACGGGTGGACTGTCTGTGTTCAAGAGTTGAAAGATGTAAGCCCCCCCCCCCCACCCCCACCCAACCCGTTACACTTCTTATATTCAGCAAATCTAAAAATTGATTGTGATTTTTATTAACCTGTCTTAACCATTTTAACTAGTATTTTGTCCACACTGACTGCTAGTTATTGCGTGCTATTAGATTGTTGTTTTGAACACTTTTTTTAACATTTAAGCTTGAATAGTGTACTATTCACAAATCCCTTTATATATACAGAAAAGTCCAATAATAATTAGTTCTCCCAATTTTTCTTTTGTTTCAGCCTTTTTACTTTCTCGTATATACGAAGTAGCCTATAGAGAAAGTCTTGTAATCGTGCAAAAAAAAAAATCGAGATTTTTGCAAATCTCGACGTTTTGCATCTCACTGATACGGAAAAACATAATTTTGCAATCTTGTCCGTATGTCTGTGTGTCTGTGTGTGTGTGTGTGTGTGTGTGTGTGTGTGTGTGTGTGTCCGTGTGTAAACACGATAACTTGAGTACCGTTACAGCTAGGTTGATGAAATTTCATATATAAGTATTTAATCAAAATCGTAGATCCGTATCAACTTTTGAGCGATTTCCGATAACCGGAAGTGGTACTTTTCCTACTTTGAATTTGTCAAAAGCCTATAACTTGAGAACTATTTCAGATAGATAAATGAAATTTCATACGTAAGTAAAAGATCTAATTCTCTACCTTCTATTAAATTTTTAGTCATTTCCGTTGACTGGAAGTAGTACTTTACGCTACTTCTGATTTCTCAAAAAACTAATGTAAATTTTAAAAGTACTAATAATATTGCGCACTATTATGCGCTTTTTTATTTCGCGTTCACTTGGTGTGCAATTAATTTGTCTACGAGATTTTATTCTATTTTTAAAACTTTAAGTATTTAAAATGGATTAAAAATCATGTCTATAGCCCGAGTTCCCATCCCCTGTTATTTTAGATAAGAATATTCGAGAAAGTTTAGGGGAGATCACTCCCGGTTTATTTATTGTATGTATTGTCGGTAGGCTATAATTTTTCCACTTTGTCATTACCTAGTATTTTAACACCAGAAACTTAGATTATAAAGGTGAGAGCTGAACTCTAGTTAATACTCAGCAGTAGGGTATTTGGTAGTAGAAGAATCATCTTACTCTTAACTTTCGTACTACATACAAGTCGCAAGTTAATTCAACGGGTTTTACAACCCAGGTTCGAACTTCAACTGCTTGGCCATTAGTACTTCTTTACTTAAAAAAAAAACATGGTTAATCATAATCAAAATTAAATTGTATAAGCCTTTTTATTTAAAAAAAAAACATAGTCAATCGTAATGATAAACACAATTGTATAAGCGTTTTTATTTGAGATGT